TTGTATCTCAGTTTAATTAAGACACATTCATTAAAATAAAAATATATTCGCAAATGCGTCTAAAAAAAATTTAAGAAATACAATTTTAAGCCCAGCGTAGCCAAAACATTTTCCAAAGCATTCATCTTGTTCGCCTACTCCACGTCAGCACTAATCTGAGGGGCCTTCAACTGCGTGTCCGGCAAACGAAGCGAATTTTAATTAACACATGAGCTATGGCAACGCTTCCACGAAACGGCGGGTAGAAATATATGTATGTATGTAGTAAGCAAATTCATATATTACGTACCCGTATGCTGTCCTCGCTGACTTTCATTTGTAAGCACCATGAGTTCCATGAATAAATGAATGACGCAAGGATCTCAATAAGTTAGCTTAGTGTGCGTGTCAGAAAGACATTCGGATGCAATTAACGTAACCAATTCATAATAAGATACAGTGTGTGAGCTGCGCCAGACTAGGGATTAAATAAAAAGAGCTGAATAGCAGTTAGTTAGCAAGGCAACGTGTTGAAAAAGATTGTAATTTTTCCTAAACTTCACTAGTAAATGTTTTGAAAGCTGAGTTTCTACCGAAATTTCAGACTACTACTGCAGATTTTCCAAAGATGGTAATAAGCTATAAAGAAATTCTATAAGCACTATAGGTAAAACTAAGTAGATACACGGTGGTTTTTGTTAAATATTTGCAAGGGTTTCTAAGCTTGAACTTTGTTGGTTACTTTTTTACAAAAAACATAGACGATGCACTAACAAAAACTATATAAATCAAACTTTAATTTTTTATACAGAGCTTAGAAAAATTCAACAAATTTTCATTAAAATGAGTTTTTAAATAATTTTGGGGATTGTAGTACAGCCCACACAAGTTTAGTCTAATAAAGTGCAAGTTTCAACCATCTAAAAAATCACATAGATTTTTAATAATTTTTCTAAGCTCTGTATAAATACTTCAAGTTTTTATAAATGGTTTTGCTTAAAAAAAATAAAAAATTTTCTTTAATAACCTTGCAAATATTTCACCAAAATCATATTGTACTCTGTTTTGCACTGTAGTGTATAAAGGGTGCGTGGCACCTCCCGTATGCACCAAATTAATCATGCGGCATTTCTCGGGGAGTATTCATGGTTGAGTACTGGAACTTGGTGCGGAGATATATTGCAGCAATCGCATTTTCATGGATAAAAGTGAGACTATTTGAAAAGGAGGCATGGTACCTCCCAAACCTACCGGAAATTTTACTTTTCTTTGAAGGTATACGTATAATTCTTCTGTACTTGTGTTTCTGAGTGAAATCCTCCTAAATAGCGGGCCGATTTTAACCAAATTTTTGTATGTGTGTTTGAAAGTGCCTTTGAATAGTTTAGTCTCATAATTTTGATAGTCGAGTCATTAGGATTTGGCTTATATTTGAAAAATTTGCGAAAACATTTGTCGCCAAGTGGCTCTGGAGTCGAGTTATTACTTAAAATCGACCTGCTGCACCACTCAGTATGTCGGACTCCCCTGTATTCGAAGTTAGCTGGGTTACGAAGCTCTCCGAGTCTGATAGTTTTACGTATAAAAGTAAAAATATACAGGTCGATTCTGCGCTGGTAATAAATATTTTTCAATTGCCGTGAAAAGGAAATGTTGTACTTGGTTCCTATAAGGACTGGAAAAATAATTATTTTTTATTCAAAAACTTACAGAAAGTTCTATTTGGCTTTTAAAAACATTTTTAGTCACACCACTTTAAGAAATGGGCTCAATTAAAAGGGCGTAGAAATATAGGTAGCGCAAGCGTATGAGCGAACATTTTTTACTTACTGCCTATAAAGCCATTTGCTATGCAACAGTTTCTGTCATTTATATCGGCTCCGTCCCTTTCCGCCGCGAACTTGTGTTTATATAGTCGCATCTGATGTCCTGTGTGCGCATGTGTGCGTAGTAAGAAGTGAAAGTAATGTTGGTGGAGGAACTGGGGGTAAAAGGGCTCATGGTAATAAATAGGCACTCAACGCCGGCAGAGGATGACATTGCAAGTGGCAACAAGTTTTGTTTGCTTTTAGCATAAAATCCGTTTATTCGGAAAATTGACGAGATAGAAAAGAGCCACGGCCTGAATGCGTACCAAATGGACATGGGATATTTGTATGTATGTAGAGTAGGGTGGGCCAAAAATACATGCGGGGAAAGAAATTCTAAAATGTTAAGCTCTCACCGCCTAGGTTTTTGGTGAGAGCTTAATATTTTAAACTTGTTTTATCACCCTAATATAGAGCGTATTAAGCTCTGCGAAAGTGAGATGGCCAGAGAAGTTCCAGCTGACGAAAAATTGGTGGATATAAGGCAACTTCAAATTGAATTATTTATTTATAAATAGGAGCTTTCACAACGGTTAAAAGTGGCACTATAGATGAGTAATCAAATTACTTAGCATGAATAATGTGCGTATGTTAACATGGATATATAAGTATTACAATGTTGACGTTACAAAGTGTCATTGATAAGACTATGACAAACAGTTTAAAGGCTTAGTTGGAGATTTTGCGTCACCCTTTTTAGTAGTGCATTTTAAAAAGAATATTCGTACAACGTCATTTAAAAATGGTTTAATTTTTACGAATTTTGTAATAAAATGGAAACTATTTTAGTTAACTTCGGCCTATTGTTATTTTAAGTGAAATACCCCATTTCTTTTATTTGCATTTTTATTTTCTTAATTTTTGTTCAAGGCAAATGCGAATAACAAAGTTTACAAAAAAAATAAAAGAATCCAGCATAGTATTTAGTAAAAAATTCCGAAAATAAAGCACCAAAAATTTCGGCACTGAAATCACTCATACGCCATGGAGTATCATTCGCTTTAGTTTTTCTTCTCCTCTTCGGTCGTTAGTGTTGAGTTCTACGACGCTAATATAATCTAAATACGCCAGCAATTGCTTACTTTCCTTCCCAACTGGCACATCTTGCACCAATGAAGGAACGCCAACATATTTCCCATTACTTGGCCAAAGCTTTTCTTCGCCAAGCCCGCCACAGATATGGCCATTAATCAACGTCTAGAGAAATTAGACTATACTACTCCCCTACTCTGTCTAGATAAAAAATTATAAATAAAAATATCAGAGAAGAACAAATGGGAATATGTCACAGACCTAGACTCAGGGTCAAACTATTTAAAGGGTTCCATCACTCCAGCGAGCTTGCACAAAATCTGAACTTTTGTTTATGGACTACAGCAGCGATTTTCATGGAAGAACGATTTAAAGTGCTTCGTAAACAGAATAATTGTTTATTGCATTAGTAGCAGTAACTGTTTAGCCATTTATTTAAAATTATATTTTCAAAAAAATTGCTTCTGTTTTTAGCAAACTTTAATTTAATTCTTTAGCATTCCAACTCCTTTTAAAAGATGCTCCACTGTTCCTCTCGCTTATGTATGCATACTTTTATTTATTAGTATAGATAGTTTTATTAGTGCATATAAATATGTGCATGTACGTATGTACCATTAACCAAGAAAGCTTAAATACACTCCCAATACATTTTCCTGAAGTTTTAAACTTTTCTACGCTTCCGGAAATGTAAACACGCTTATGCTTCACATGTGTGCATATACATAGGTACAAACACACGTACATATGTATATATGCATGTACGTACGAGTTGCTAGACGAGACGATATTTAAATTGTCGATGGTAAAAATGTCACGTATGCGGAACATAAGTAAATTTGTTTTAGATTTTCTTGTTTTGGTTTTATACTTTGACAAAGCTTGTTAAATACTTTGCTCACCTTGCTTAAGCCACTTTCATTTATCTACTTGCAGATGTTTTCGTAGAACATGTTTCCGCATTTAAAGTGAAAGCAAAAAGAAAACAACAATATGTACAAAACCGTGAGTGAAATACCATTTTCATTAAGTTTTTTTTATTAATTTACAAAAGTTGCATACGGTGGCGAAAATGTAAATAGGGAAGAGACATTTTAGCAAGTTTCGGCTATTTTAATTTTTTTTTTAATAACTTTTATTATTTTTTTATGAAATTTTGAATATTTTATATGAATATTTATAAAACCCCGACGAAGTTTAACAAATCGACACCTGAGTGGAAGTCGGAACTATCTCCGCAGCCAGTTCGGAAATGCCCTATATCAGAAAAGTTCTGAGTTGAAGAACTCCCTATCTCAGAATTCGATTCAAAAAATGCGATTGAATGACGCGTTTTTTAATCAGGCTGCTGAGATAGTTTTTAGAAATATTCAAGTCATTGAAAAGTATTGAATTGCTAGCAATTATAATATGAACAAATTTACAAAATTCTCCTGTGGAAACTTTCCGACGGAGCTATTTAGTTTTATCGCTACTGTCGCGACAATTTTGTCAGAGTGACAATTGTCAGCACTATTGTCAGACATTTGTCGACAAAATTCCAGTATTTTTACTGTCGCTTTTCAAAAATTGTCACGGTTGCCTACAGGGTTCTATAAAACAGAAAAAATGTCGCCGAGAATTCTGGCTCTAAAATTTTTCGGCAAAATAGACAATGGTCGCGCCTGTTATGAAATAGGCCCCAGGTATCGAAATTTTCATCCAATTTTCAAACTTTTTAATCAGATTTTTTTTATTTTTTGCATGTGCCATTTTGTAGTTTGAAGTAACTAGGATTTGCCGCTGATTTTTAGCAATATTACGTGCAAACATTTTCTCCCATTCAAAATATGCTGGACAAATTTTTTGTATGGAGAAAACGAACAACACCTTCAAAAAAAAATGTCAAAAATCAAAGTTAAGTCCTATTAAGCTACTTCAAACTTGCACTTTATTATACTAAAATAAGATGGGTTAGACAATTGCATACACAGAATATTTCTAAGAAATCTAATTAAAAAGTTCTAAATATTTATGGAACTTTGTCGAATTTTCCAAATTTTTATAAAAAGTTGTTCTTAGATAACGAGCTACACTTGCACACTTTTATCACCTTCTTCTTTTTTTGGTATTAAAGTATGTAATATTTTGAAAAATTATTATACGTTTGCACCAAAAGTAGTTATGGTAAATTTACATGAAATTCAATTTAAATGAAAGCATTGCTCCAAATCTTTTGAGTGACAAAAACAAGAAATAAAATAAAAGGTTGCTAAATGTAAAAAACATGTAATCTTAATTTATGTAGATACACGCATACATACATACTTTCATTCATATATCCCAACAAAAAAGGAGTTAGAAACTGAGGAAGTCTAAGGAGGCACATACTTGCCGAATAATTTTATTTTAGAGATTTGGCAAAAACATTTCCATACATCAGTGCAAATACGTGTAAATACATTCATATATACATACATATCTACATACATATGTATATACGCACAAGCGCAGAGGTATGTACAAGTGTAGTAAAATGATTATCCCTGCAGGAAATTGCTTTCTATCGAATTTATCGCTAAGCGAACTTTGCTTTTATTTCTTACAGACACTGTAGCAAAAATTACCGTTGTTAGAGAAAGTTTTGAAAAGGAAAAGTCGTTTCACTAGAAGATCTACACTTCTAATAGCCACACTTCCTCGAGATGGCATAAGCAATATAGTAGTATTCGATAAAAGTTTTCAAATATAATCGTTTAATAGAGCTACCACTCAAAATTAAGAATGATCCTCAGGCTGGTAGTCTGTACCGATGCAAGTACGCTTCAGACTTCAGATTAAGAGATGTTGATATCTATTGGAAAGCTACCGAGAAATTTTCAGGCATAGGTCTACGTCATCAGCACGTGAGTGAATATTAACTTACGAAGGCCATAATAGTAGTAGTAAAGTGCTCTCATCGTGTGAGCTTAAATCTCCACCAGTCTTCCAGTGCATGGAGAATCTCAAAGCTCTTCCTAAACACAATCACATCCATTAGCTTTAATAATTTTGCTATAAAAAACAACAGTCAATATTTCTACCATACAAAAGCATCTCTGGCAACCAAATCTGAACTAGTTAAGGAAAGCAAATATTGAATCGTACTCAGGGTCTCGGTCTACTATTGTCTGTCTTGACGGTGTTCCAATGCAAATTAACATAGAAAGCAATGAGAAGGATAATGAATTGGCGAAGGCAGGAATATGTTTAAATGAATTCGTAGCGGTGCTTTTGGGTTGCCCTCTTTCAATAACCCAAACAGGAATTATATACTCTGCATTTCATTGAACTGGCTAGATAGCTGGAGGTAGTTAAATGTACATACCTGGGGCTGAATTTTGTAACTGCGAGAAAATTCAGTGTACACTGAAGGCAAAACCTACCACCAAAACTTACCGAATAAAATGCTCTGAAAAAGAAGTGCACACAAATTTGCAGGTTAAAACTCATTCTCACACTTCCTAAATCACAAAATGAAGAGTGTACACAATTTTCAGTGCACACTTGAAAACTCACTCCGACAAGACGAAGACATTGAACTTAGTTAATATTCCTAGGACGGAAGTGTTCAGAATTGTAGCTGCCAACACGGGGAACTGGCACTTAAGCAAACATGTGAAAAAACCAGAACTACTGCAGCGAAAAGCTAGCTAAAAATGGGGCCAGAATTTCCCATGTGGATGTTTAGGCCTTTAGAGTACTAGATATGAAATATTAGGCAGACACCTAGTAAGAAAACAATATACCCAATCCATTGGAGTTACCATAAGTGAAGTGGGCAAATTGTATAGTAAATCGAGATATTTCGACCAAGTAACATAGGATAGCAATAAGGTTGGTTCAAAACATAAAGGAGGAAAAAAATTTTAAATTTTGAAGTTTTACAACTCGTTTTAAGTCAACGTATCAGAATGAGGTATATGTATTTTTTATGATAATGAAATAGAAATTTTTTAATTTTTTATTTTCTTTGAAAAAATTATTATTTAACATTTTTTCACGAGAAATATTTCAAAAATGGTGCAAAAACACATTTTAAATTTAGACAGCTACTATAAAGCACTACAACCAACTAGCAACTACAACCAGGCGAAAGCAACTACTTGCAATAGGTCCAAAAAGAGAAAAAAGAAAAGCTGAAGAAAGAGAAGATAGATTCATAGTAAATAGAAGCTAGTGCTAAATGCAGATATTCTTATATGTAAGATATTGACTCGGCTAAAGATGCCCTATTGCTGAGTGCAAGAATTGTTTAAACCTAATGTGACCTAAGCAGGAATCAACTTGATTGTTCTGCCAAAATTTTACTAAAATATAGTGTTATGAAAACTTAGCCTGTCTACCGTCTAAATAACTTAAAACTTATTACGATTAGCATCGTCCAGTTCAACAGCTTACATTTTTGATTTTTACTTCCAAAATTCTGTCAATCAACTGACTTAAGAATTTCCTTTGGGGCATTTCATATATATGTATACCAGTATGCAGTACGTATAAGTTTTCGGCGCCAACAAAGATATAAAAATGCTTACAAAACATTTTTTACATTTACCACCGCACTTAAATATAATATCCTGCCAACGGGAAGAAATAAAAAAAGAAGTAGCGTTGAGTAGAGTAAAAAATGACTAAAAACTGCAAGTTACAAAATCTTACCACCCGCTGGAGAGCACACCCAGCTTTATTTAGTGCACACCGGCATTTTTCTCTGTGCTAAATTTCAACGACTCTTGCTGACATACTAAGTTGTGCATGCATTTCTTTCACTCGCCTGTTTTTTATGCACAAACATTTTTCGAAGGACATTTTTGTAGTCTGCTTGTTTTCATTATTTCCGTGTTTTCATACGTGATCTTAGTTCTAAAATAAATGAGATATTACAATACGGGTATCAAAAACAACACAAAAATACTTTTAAGGTGCAGTGAAGTTCGCCGGGTATTTGCTAGTTAAAAAGTAACGCATCTAATTTTTGTATCTGGTACCTCTTTACATATTTTGTTCCCCGTGCAACCTAAAGACTTATACGTTGCCAGGGTTTGAAAAAATTTAACTTTTTTTTTTAAATCTCAACATCCTAATAGCCTCAAAGTTGTCGAAAGTTATCTGAAATAACTGCAAGCCAACACATTTTCTATGCAAGTTTCTGTAATCATTAAGTATCTCAATGCCATTTATATTTGTTTTATTTAAATTAAAAAGACTTAGCTTCTAGCGGAAGGAGTTCTTGCTAACGCTTGCTTTAGTTTTTTTTTTTAGGTTTTTTGTATTGCACATTTACATGTATGTAGATATGTATGTATGTTAAATTTCAAGAATTGTTTGCTCTTTTTTAGTTTGGTTATACTAAAACAATTTGGTTATTCGCTCGACTAGAAACCATATTTCAATTAATTTTTCATTCATGCATTCGTTCACATTCTAAGTGCAAATGTGGTTTCCTTCACACAGGCGCACATGCATATATACATATGTATGTATGTGAATTCCAACTCACAAATGTACAAAATAATTCGATTCATATACGGAATAAATGACTGGGACTCTGACTGAAATTTCATAGAAATTTGGCATTATTGAACATTTGCAGACATTTGTGCAGTTTGTTTTAGGTGATCTGCTGTTGAAAGTGACTAAAATTTCATATTCAGTTGAAGTAAAATTTGCTTTTCTTGATAATCCCTTTCAATTGCAATTGGAATTTTAATTAAACCTCTGCATGAAAGCAGCTTCAGAACATTTGTAACTGTCATAAATTTTTGAAGTGAAACTTCTTTAGCGGAGGTTGGTTGGGAGTAAATTGGCAAATTCAAGGGAAACTGCACACGCAAATGGTGCAACGGAAATGATGCAACGGAAGTGGTGCAACGGAAATGGTTGAGGCTGAAACAAGTGCTTCTTGTGTGTATGCATATGGTATTAATTTAGTAGAAATTTGCTAATAAAAGGTTAAAGAATAACACTTGGAAAAAGACCAATAAAGA